TCAAAAAAAAAAAAAAAAAAAAGTTCAATAGATAACAGTTGTTACTACTAATAATAAACAACCAGGCCAGGCAGATGAGAGGACCAGAGGTTAAGCCAGGTGAGAACTGGTTAGTAGCACCTGCAGAGGAGAATGTAATAGTCATTTGTAACCATACACAATGTCATCAAGCAGGAACTACAGCCATGTGGCTGGGACCAAGGAGGCTGCTTGAGGAGTTTCCAGTCACCTGAGGGGACTCACAATAAGTTTCTTTCTTTCTTTTTTTTCTTTTTTGGTACCAGGGATCAAACTCAGGACCTTGCACTTTCGAGGCAGGTGGTGGAACCCCCACAATAGGTTTCTTTGGGAGGTAGTAGGCTCCTGTTACTGAAGGTTTTCCAGAGCAGGTCTGTGCAATGATTCCAAAAATTGCAACAGCCAGGTGTGATGGTGCACACCTGTGATCCCAGCCTTTGGGAGGTTGAGGCAGGAGGATTTCAAGGCCAGCATGGACTACACAATGAGTTCAAGGCCAGCCTGAGCTGCATAGGGAGACCTCGTCTCAAAAAAAAAAAAATTGCAACAGATCAGAAATATCATGGAATGCCCCAAGTTCATCATACCGATGTGTTCAATTTGAAGGAGAGTCCTTTATCTGAGACTGTGAGATTCCTACCACTTCTGATACCAAACCTTCCATACTTCCATGAAAGAATGACAATAGTAGGGGGCGGTTCTTTTGTTGGCCTGTTTCTTAGTAGTGTCTTTATGTGACAAAATAACAAGTTGCCAATCTCATGGTGGTCTTTAAAACAACAGCAAACAAACAAATAAAAAACCTGTTTGCTCCATGACCTTCTAAAATCTAGGAAACATTGCTCCTCAGTGGTTTCTCTGGAATGAGTGGTTTCTCTCAGAGAGCTCTTCCAAAGTCAGACTTAGGGTTTTCAGGTGTTTTTTATAATATTTTTGGCAGTGCTGCAGATTGAATCCAGGGCCCCACATTCTACTGCTGAGCCACACCTCTGATCCTCAGGCATCTTTAAAAAGTATCACACACCTTTTTGCTGGCTGAATCCTTATTCTGAACATATTTCACCCTTTATGAATGCTTCCTTCAAGTGATCATTATGGGTGTTTATTACTGTGAGGGCTGTCAAACCTTCAAACCCACAGCCTCGCCCTTCGGGAGGCTACTTAAGCAACAAGGACTGTTTGTCCCTCATTCATCCTCCCACATTGCTTTGGTTTAGGTGTATCAATCTGCTTTCTCAACAGCCCACTCTCACCTATTAGCTGCCTTATCTCTGAGATTAGCATCTTCCCCACCCACACTCCCAGAGTCAGGCTGCTAAATTTGTTAAACCAGGGATTCTCTTTGACACATTAATTTAAACAACTTCTTTGTGACTCGTGGGCTGTTTTCTCTGTCAAGCAATGAGGGCATAGGGCTAATAAGTGATTGAAAAGATTTGCTTCCTTCTGTTTCAAAATAGTATTGACAGAGAATCATCCAGAATTTAACACAAGGTAAAACTTATCAAGAGCAGCTGAGAAATTAATAGATGGAAGAGTTTGGCTGGAAACCAGGGACCAGCTGACTTGCGGCCACTTAGCCTCCTGCTGGGCCCTGGACGCACAGCGATTAGGAGACAGGTCTGGCATTCAAGGGGGAGTTGCTTAATGGAACCAGCTGCAAGAGAAGGCAGGTCTGGGTATAAAAGGGCAAAGCAGGAGACTGCTGCTTTTGTTAAAACATTCCTACTCTTCTTTGGATCCACAGGCTTGTGTCCTTTGTTCAAGCTGAATGAAGTCAAGACCCCTACTAGCTATGTGTCCCTGATTTGTGACATCTTTCTAAGAGGTCAAAGGTCCTGTATTAAATCTCACAACTTACTCACCCTGACCCAAAACCCTAATCCTCGCAATGCTGGCATACGGAGAGCTGGGTGTTGGCCAGCGTTCTTTCACTAGGGCAAAACACCTAAGGTAATTAATATAAAACAGGCTCACCACGCTCACGGTTTTGGAGATTCCAGTCTATGATCAGCCGGCCCCACTGCTTTTGGCTTGTGAAAGAACACACATAGCAGGGCAAAAGCTGTCATCTTGTCAGCCAGGAAGCAAGAGAGAGGAAGGAGCCAGAGTCCCACAATCTTCTTTAGGGACACAGAACAGTGACCAAAGGACCTTCCACAAGACTCAGCCTCTCAAAAGCTCCACTGCTTCCCAACACTACCACCCTGGGACAAAGCCTGCAACACTAGAGCTTTAGAGGAACATTAAAACTACAGCATTCCACACTGGCCCCCATCCACATCTGTCTCACAATGCAAAACACACTTAGATCTCCAAGGGTCCTCAGATTCTTAACCATTTCACATTACCCATAAGCCCAAGTTCAAAATCTCCTCTGAGACTCCAGGCACAGTGAGCTGTGAGCTTCTGCAAAAATTAAGTAGAAAGTTTCACACTTTCAAGGTAACACGTTGGGACAGGCACAGGTAAACATTCCTATTCCAAAGGGGAAGAAGAGGAAAACAGTAAGGCAGGACTGGCCCAAAGCAGGACCAAAACCCAGCAGGAAGCACATTAAATCCCAAAGCTCTATGTCCAGTATCCAGGCTCAGTAGTGGAAAGTGGGTTCCCAGGGGCTCAGGGAGCCACACCCCTACGGTTCTGCTCACCTGTTCGCGACACCTCTTCCTTCCTGGGGACTCCCCTGCAGCTTCAGTCTCCCACAGCTCCACAGTTCATTGTCACAGGCTTGCTTCCACTGCCTGGTCTCCTAGGCTTCTCTTTGAAATCTCAGGAGGAGCGGCCACGACCCCACAGCTCTTGCATTCTTTACGCCAGCATCATGCGGATGATGCCAACGTCGCCACCAGTGTGGGCTGCACCTCATCAGGTGTGGGGAATGATTCCAAAGACACCCCAGGGCCCTCTGCTGAAGAATTTCAGCCCGAGACATGTTTTTATCCTTATATCTTTGAGCCTGTGATGGGAAAGGTGGACTTGCCTGAGATGTTCTCCAGATATCTTTCTTATTGTCCCCAGAGTACTTGGCTTCTTTTTAACAGCACTTAGCAGCTAAACTCTCCTTGACCACACCTTATACACATGCTTCTTTTCTGGCCAATACGCAAGCTTTTCATCTTTTTGCTCATCCTCTTTGCTCCTGATACTCACTTTAAAACTGATTAAAAGCAGCCAGTAGTAACTGTGCCACCGTCTTAGTGTTTTGCTATCTTGAAATTTTCTCTGCCTGATTAAATTAGTCTATCACCTTTAAACTTGGCCTCCTACAAAGCCTCAGGACACTGACACAATGTAGCCGAATTCTTTGCCATAATGTAGCTACAGTAGCTGTGTCATCCAGTTTTCAACTGAGTCCTCATTTCCATCTGCAAACCCATCAGCCTAAACTGTGTTGTCCGTGTCCATATCAGCATTCTGGTCTCTGACCTTCTACCAGGATCATCATTAAACTCCACTTATGGGCTCTCCCTAACCTTTTGCTCCACGCCTTTCCAAACACCTCCTCAGTGACCATCAAACATAACTGTACTGGACTAGGTAATGCCTAGCAGTTTAGTAAAGCACTCTTGCGGGTGTGTCTCGACGGGTGGACTGTGGAGGCCTGGCCCTGGGTGTTTGATGATCCCTGACCTGCATGCCACACACCAGCACTTGTCAGTGACCCATCAGGAACCAGGCAATACAGCAGGAGTGAGCATCGGCTTCATCCGTATTTACAGCTGCTCCCTTCACTTTCATTAACCAAGCTCCACCTCCAGACCAGCTCAGAGGAACCTGAACTCTACTGTGAACTGCACATGCAAGGGATCCAGGTTGCATGCTCCTTATGAGAAACTACTGCCTGGTGACCTGAGGTAGAGCTGAGGTGATGCTAGCACTGGAGAACAGCTCCGAGTGCAGATTAACATTAACAGAGAAATCTGACTGAACGGAGACCATAAGAGGCTAATTGCTAAGCAAGCAGGTCATGCTGCCCACCTGTTGCCCCCAATACAAACAAGCAGTTCACACCATCCACACGGCACCTCTGACACAAACAAGCAGGCTACGCTGCAATATGGCATGACCACGGCCAACTCCAAGGCAGCTCTGCATTTTGCTTCTCCATGGCACAGGACAATGGAAATGTGGGCTGATTCTGGACAAGGACAATGCCCAGGAAAAGAAGATGAGCCCAGGGGGCCAGCAGACTCAGGGAGAAAGTACAGACCTGGCCAGGAGCTTCCGAAACTATAGTGTTACCCTCCCAAAGTGACATCTTGGAGAGGGGATGGTTCAGACATAGATGCCCCTAAGAAGTATAAGTCCAGGCTGGCAAGGACAGGGTTCCTGCCCTCGACAGGGACCACCAGACCCTGTGAATGTCAACATTAAGCCCAAGAGTCCCCTTAAAACTCTGTCTGTGGCCTACATCCAGTAGACCAGACAGTGAATTCCTTTTCCCATCTACAAACACGAGCAAGGACGTACTTTGGCTTGGATGGTGACCACAGTCTGGCTCACTTCGGCAGCGCATATACTAAAAT